GGCGGGGGGCGGGCCCCGGGCCTAGGTCGCTTTCTGTCCGGGTAAACAGCCCTAGTGTAAAGAAGCCCCTCGCTCTGTGGGCCCGAAGCCTTAGCGTCGCTTTCAGGCGGGAAAGGTATGAACAGGGTAGTGCTCGCTTAGGATCCTGCCTGGTGTAACACAGTTTGGGAATTCTGAGAAGTCGCCTAAGTCTTTTTCTCCACCACATGCTCGTGGATTGAGGATCACGTAGATAATCGGAATGTTGTTTTGTTGTAACAATGATCATGATAAAAATAAATGGAAGGTGGCAACCTGTTGACAGTGATACCTGTCAAGCATCATCCGATGGACTTGGGTTGCTTCATGGTAGAAGTTTGATTTGCGGTTTTGCATGCTTGCATGTACCTTGTTACTCCATGCACGGCAGTCCAGTACAGCGGTGGTGACTGCAAGGCCAACCACTAGGCCCGGACCCTCTTGTTTCCTGGCAACAGAATGGACTTTCAGTCACAGGGTCACAGGCAACCTTGTCGCAGGCCTTCATTCACCAAAGGGAGTGAATAGCCAATAGTTGGTGCTGCCTGTGAGTATGGGGATGTGAGTCCCGTTGGAGGATGACAAAAGGAATGGATGAGGTCATACTGCTGCTGGGTTGGGCGGGAAGCCACAGCAGGAGAGGCCTGACCTAAAGGCAGTAGCCACACCACTGGGCTATCACAGCCAGTACCTCCATGCCAGCCCAACAAGTGGACTCAAGCCAAGGCACTGTCCAAGTGTATTGGTTTTACCCTGGTGTCAGAGATCCAGAGAAGCCTGCTGTGCGTCTGCTGCTGGCTTACCATCCCCTTGGCAAGAAAGGTTTACATCATGAGTTCAATCAGCTGAAGCAGTAGTGAAGCCAATGGCGGGAGAACCATCCTTTGAGTCCTTAATGTGACTAGACACTGTGTGGGGCAGTTCCCAAGGGTTGTTTTATAGTCTGATAGTGACCTTGGAGGTAGGAAAGATCTGACTGATTTGCCCGGTCAGGGCCTCTCATAACTCTGCTCCCCTCTTTGGCAATCTCATACAGCCTCCTGGCTTTAACGCTGTCTCTCCTTGACATCGCTACCTCTAGCCCCAGCTTCCCATCTGAGCTGCAGCCTCTCCTTTCTAGCTGTTTCTTCCCACATTTCCATGTGTTACTCTGATGCCAAGTAGCCATGACCAAACCTAAATCCTGATCTTTACTCACCCCAAAACATTCCTCATGCTGCCTTCAACACCTCAGCGCATGCCAGCTCTGTCCTTGAGTTTGGAGCCACTTGGATTCCTCTCTTGGGCCTCCATGCAACCCTCAGGACCATTTTTCACCATCTTAACATGCTAGTCCCAGCCACCTGAGCCTCTTAATTCTTCTCTTTGCTCGCACCCTTGCCCCTCTCCCCGTCCTCCACCTGTAGTTTTTCTGAATACACAGTGTCTTTTAAACTGCAAGATAGTGTAAAACTGAGGCAGTGCAGACAGGAACCAGCTTGCTTGGGTTGTAAAGCAGCTCCATCACTTTCTAGCTGTGTGACCTTGAGCAAGTTGCTTAATCGTTCTCTCACAATGCTGTGTGAGAACTGGTGAGTGAAAATGCATAAAGCGCTTAGAACAGGATCCGGCTGGGGATTGGCTGCCAGTGCTGTCCTTGGTTCATGCGACCTCACTGCTTGGAACCTCCTGTCAGTGACCCATCTCGCTCAAGCTAAGAGCCAGAGTCCTAGTCTTGCTCGCCCTCACTGACATGGCCTCCTCTCATGCCCCCTCAGCACGTTGCTCTCACCTGCCTATCCCAGGGCCTTTGCTCTTCTCTGTGTTGCCTGGACTGTCCCCTCCTCACACCCCACTACCCACCTGGCTTACCTTACCTTCAGATTGGACGCTGGCTGTGAGGCTTTCTCTGTTCACCCTTCCTGAAGCTGCCTCCCCTTCCCCAATTCCTTGCTTTATTTTTTCTTGAGCACGTCTCAGTTTTTCTTAGTTATTACTTGACCATCTCTCCTGCTAAAATGTGAGCTCTCGGGGGGCAGAGATTATGTCTGTCTTGTGTCTTTAGCATCTAGGATGGTGTATGTGTACCACATGGAAGGTGTTCAGCAAACACTTGTTGAATGAGTTGGATAAAGTTTGGGGAGGGAAAGCAAGGAACTTGCCCAGGGCTGCCCCACTGTGGGGCTCTGTGCCTTGAACTACTGCCCCCTGAGCTGGGCAGGTTTTCCTGATCTCCTGAGGATCACACACACTCATTCCACAGCTCTCTGACCTCACCCTGTGTGCCTTGTTAAGTTCTCCCTTCATCAATTATTATCATTGTCATTTTGCTTTGTGCTTCTACGTGGCTGCTCCTTAGCCTTTTAATATGGTAGCAGATGTTCTCTGTCCTGTATTGCCATGTGTCTTCAATCCCCCCCCATCTCATGTCTTCATTTTAGCTTTTTTCAACCTCTAGAATCACACATTGGCTCTCGTTGGGGTCTGTGCAGACCTGCCAGGTGCTGAGGGGTTTGATCCAAATCTGATCTGTGTTCTGTAGCGCTGGGCATACTGACCTGCCTGTCCTTCTCTTAAATGATCTTTCTTGGTTGCCAGGAGACTGGCCTTACTCCACTCAGTGTTCCTGGTGCCTGTCTGGCTGCAGTCTCCTCAGCATTTACTTGCAGTTCAGAGTCTGTCATTATCTATGTGCTGCATTTCCTTCATCTTTAGCACCTTTCACAGACACATCCCTGGGAGAAGTATTAAGTTCCCATTGAAATCAGAACAGTAAGATCTTAGAATCTAGGAATAGAGTGACAGCTCAGTGGTCATTGCCCTTCCAACTGTGTCCTGGTGGTGGGGACCTTGTCCCTTGTTTATGGTAGTCCCTCCCTCGGAGTAGACAGTCAGTATTTATTGAATGAATTGATTAAATCTAAACAAGTCTCTGATTTTTATATTGTGTCACCTTCAAAATACAACCATGCTCTGTGCTTTCACTGTAGACTTCTTAAATGTGGGATGTCTGCTGACTCCAGACCATACAACTAGTCAAGTTGCCCCATATGCATATATGGGCATGTGTGTGCATGTATCTGCACCCATGTGCGTGGCATTTTCATGTGTGTGTGTCTGCACTGTGTGTGTGTGCGCCTGCACGTGATTCTCCTGCTCTGGTGCTCAGCGCTCCTACAGACCTCTGGGTTTTCAGATTGCCCCTCTGAGCTGCCTTCACAGCTTCATGTTAGCCCTTTTGTCATGCTTCCTCTGGAGTAAAGTTTCTCAAAGTTGCGTCCTCAGCCCTTTTCTGTTTCTGTGTTCCCTCCCTCTGCGGCCTCTCTTCTGTGGTTTTGGGACTACCACCTTGCTAATGCATTCTGGCCCTCTGTCTCTGGGCCAGTCACAGCTCTAGAGCTGTGGCCTAATCACCTGTTGGACAAGTCTGCCTGGAGGTCCATCCATCTCCTGTATGGGCTCCTGGCTGAACGCTGGAACACGTGTGTCCCTCCAGGGGGAAGCTTCATTCGTCTTAAGTTCTTTCTTGTCTGTGCTCTTCCCCTCTCCCTGGTTAGCAGAGCATTCAGTTTTGTGTCTTCACTGTACTTGAGGGCTCCTGCCCAGTCATCAGAACCCCTTTGACACCTTGGCTTTCTGGCCTAGAGGACTCTTCTACACCTTGGGCACAGGAACTGTGCCTGGCACAGTGGTCAGTCTTCTTTCTCAAATAGGGACTGAACTGTGGCAGGAGAGTCACCTCACCCATGGTGGCTTCTCATTGCCCCCAGGATGGAGCCAGGCTCCAGACGGCACCCAGGACTCCCTGTGCCTTGGCACCAGCTGTCTCCTGCAGCTCCCCTACCAACCCCAGCCTGGCTCCCTTCCCCACAGACACCACCCCCTCTGCTGGGAACAGAACCATGCCACCTCTGGCGACCTCAGCATGCTGCATCACTGTCCTGGTCCACGTGCCACCTTGTGGGCCCAGGAGAGCCCTGGGGTTCCAGGGTAGCAGAGCGCCTGGCTGTACCTCTGAGGCCCTAGTGCTGCAGAGTTGAGCTGAGGGTCTCGCACTCACCCTCTGACTGACCCAGCCCTAGCAGGTGAGTGGATTGATGTCACTCTGATGGCCTGAGGGAGGCCGCACACCTTATGTGTGTTCTGGAAAGGACAGCCTTGCACCGCGTGCTTGCTTACCTAATAAACTGTGTTAGGGGAATGCTGCGGTGAAGTTTAGTGTAGGTTTTTTTTTAATCCTTTTGAGCCTTAAGATAATATTGTTTTTATGCTTCTGAAGTAGGAGCTACAGTGGACAATTAATAAAATATTTAACTTTGGACTTAAATTATAATTTAGGTTCTGAAGAAAAAAACTGAAGTTAGTTTGTTTTAAAGACCAAAAGATTTTCTTAGGCAGTATTACTTTCTTTACTATACTGTAATAGCACTTGACTCTTGGTACCAGGGAAGCGCAAAGGTTTCTGTCATTTTGTGATGATGTTTTTAAATCTCTTTGCAGGTGGAAGAAGAAAGGTGCCACTTTGGCATGAAGACAGACTCGCTTAGTCGTCAGTCATTTAAGCTGAGTGCATTGTGATTTCCAATAATTGAGGCAGTGGTTCTAAAAGCTGTCTACATTAATGAAAAGAGCAATGTGGCCAGCTTGACTAAGCCGCCAGCGTTTGCAGCGCGGGCAGGACGGCACCCGGGTCTCGACGGACTTTTGCATGTTAGCTGTATAGATTTATGTAAGGTTTTTTAAAACTGGTCTTTTAAAATAGTCTTAACCACTTTTACTATGGAGACATATGAGAGTCCCTCTCCTCTCCCGCGTGAGCCCGCAGGAGAAGCGGTGATGGAGAACCATGCTTGCCCCCTCCAAGTGCTGCCCCGTGAACAGTCTCCACCACCTCCCCTGCAAACGTCCAGTGATGCAGAGGTAATGGACGTTGGCTCTGGTGGTGATGGACAGGCCGAACCCCCTGCTGAGGACCCATTCAACTTCTACGGAGCTTCTCTTCTCTCCAAAGGATCCTTCTCTAAGGCCCGCCTCCTCATAGACCCGAACTGTAGTGGCCACAGCCCGCGCACCGCCCGGCACGCACCTGCGGTCCGGAAGTTCTCCCCTGACCTTAAGTTGCTTAAGGATGTAAAGATTAGCGTGAGCTTTACCGAGAGCTGCAGGAGTAAGGACAGGAAGGTGCTGTACACAGGAGTGGAGCGCGACGCTCGCGCGGAGTGCGATCTGGCCCTTAGCCCTGTCAGTGGAGACGTGCATGCTTGTCCCTTTGGCGGGAGTGTTGGTAACGGGGTAGGTGTAGGGGGTGAGAGTGCTGATAAGAAGGATGAGGAGAATGAGCTGGATCAGGAAAAGAGAGTGGAGTATGCAGTGCTCGATGAGTTAGAAGATTTTACTGACAATTTGGAGCTAGATGAAGAAGGAGCAGGCGGGTTCACGGCTAAAGCAATCGTGCAGAGAGACAGAGTGGATGAAGAGGCCTTGAATTTCTCCTACGAGGTATGTCGGTGACCCCTCCTTTGGATTGCTCTTAGCAAAACCCAAAGAGAGGTGTTTGGGAACTGCAGCATCTTTTGAAAGCTGATGTTGCAGAGCAAAAAAAAACCCATATGAGGTGGAATAATGTTAATGTGGAAAAAAAAGACAGCAATAAAGAGTCCAGATTTTTAAACTTTCTTAATGAAAAGTTTGGCCGACAGGTTGGCCTTGTACCTTTTACCCAACCTGAGTTGGAAGGTGCTGCTGAGAAGTGTTCCCTGATGGTGTGTGCGCCTGGACCAAGCCTGCTGGCTTCAGTTGTCGGTTTCATCCCATTTGTTTTTCAGATGATCATGCACCATAAAGGCACACCTAGGCCCCCTCGAGAGCGCCTCATTTCTGTGTCCTTTTTCACTAGTGCCATTAAGGTTGCCCATGGTGCAGGAATGCAGGTGCTGGGGCCATGGTATTTGAACAGCATGTTTTGCAGGACGATTTTGACAATGATGTCGATGCTCTGCTGGAAGAGGGCCTTTGTGCTCCCAAAAAGAGGAGAGTGGAGGAGAAATACGGAGGAGACAGCGACCATCCATCTGATGGAGAGACAAGCGTGCAGCCCATGATGACCAAGATTAAAACAGTGCTCAAAAGTAAGTCTGCGGGTCAAAAAGTAGTGAGTTTTCGCAGGGAGGCAGGAGTGCAGGTTTGAGAGCCCTCGGGCTACCAGACAGCAGCCTGGGCATGCTTTTGAGCACAGGAAAGTCATGTCTGATGAAGAGGAAACAGATAAGACATAAGGATGCATCCAGGAGCACGACCATCCTGGTGCAGATCGTGGTGTACTATGGAAACCACAGAGAGACTGGTGTCTTGCAGAGGAACTGGGAGGGGACTTCTAATGGGGTGGGGAATGGACCCCTTAGGAGGGAACATTGGTGTGTGCTCGGAGATGACAAGACCGAAAACCAGCATATGTGGAGGCCGAGGCCAGAGATGGGTGCTCAGCATAGTGTCAGGTGATGGTCAAGGTCTGGGTCCTGGATTCTGTGCTGTCAGGAGAAGAAGACACTAGAAGCAGGCAGGTGTTATGCAGTTTTTGTCTAAAAGCACAGCTCTGGCTGTAGCATGGCACATGCACTTCAGGTGGGCAGGATGGGAGCTCCTGGAGTACAATACAGGTGGAGGTGTTCTGAACGTGCAGGCAGTGGGATTTGCACTTGGATTTGGGGGCAATGTGGAGAGCAGTGGGGAGATGCCCAGAGTTGTGTCCCTGTAGCTTCTTTGTCAAGCGATGCCTGTTTGAGAGGAGCTGGTGTCAGTTCCTGTCTGGCCTGGTCGCGCCTGTGTGTTTAGGTGGAGATGTTGGGCTGGGCAGTTGGGCAGCAGTGAAAGGCTGAAGAGATGCATGGAGACTTGGGCACACAGGTGACAACTTAGATTGAGACCCAGGGTGCAGAAGGTGGCAAGGTGTGATGGGAGGAAATCTAGGGGCAGGTGATGTGCAGTCTTCTCTGGCTGTGGAGTGGAGTGGACATGTCAGCACTGCTGGGCACCACATGTGTCTGCCCATGTTGACCAGCGGTTGGAATAGGACAGGTATGGGGTTCATTGATTGCAGACGGAGATGAACCTGGGGCCTCAGCTTCTGAGAAGTGGTAGAGGGGGCAGTCTTTACCTTGGTGCCTCCGGCAGTATTGCTTTGTGCATTTTCTGTGGTTTCATCAGCCTCACTCTGAGCAGGTAAAGCCATGTCCATTCTGAGCAGTACACAGGTTCGGAGTACACCTGGCCACTTGGCCTGCCTGTGAGGGCACTGCCTTTCCCTCTGCAGCCTTCTCCTCCACCTGGCAGCCTGCCCAGCAGTGCTGCCTCCCTCCCAGGAGTTGCAGGTTGGTCCTCATGCTCACACACTGCGTGTGAGCGGCATATGAGCTCTTCAGACAGGCCAACTTTGTGACTGCTTATTGTCACGAATGAGTGCCCCGGATGCACCTGTGTCCTGGGTTGTGCTTGGCTTGGATTTCATTTGCTTCACCTTCTCCTGACTTAGCCCAAATCTTCCTGGCCCTTACTCACTGGGGAGAGTGCCTGACAGTGCACGGACACACCCTCCCAGGGGCTGTCCTGACACCAGCTGTCCAATATCGGCCACTTGTGGGTATCAGGCTTGGAGCCCTCAATGCTGGGCGGGGATCTGGTACTAGGGTGTCACTCCTTTTTGCATAGGAGTCACTGGTGCTGTCTTCATCATGTATATATTTTTGTAGATTCACTTGCTCTTTTTTCCTTTTGTTTCTAAAATTCTTAACTTGATTCCAATACCTATAAGAAAATTAAGTTTTAGCTAAATCTTTGTCTTGTGTTTTTCCCAGCCACTAGGTCTGTCAGTGGCAGGTGTCAAGTGGATAATAAGTGTTGAGCTTTTTTTTATTTCTTTTTAATTTTATTGGGGAACAGCCATGGTCATTGGTTACACATTGCTTTCATGCTACAATGGCATAGTTGACTCTTTTAGGGAGAGCGTAGCTAGTGGCCCATGCGGGGATTGAACTGGCAACCTTGGTGTTATCAGCATGACTCTCTAACCATCTGAGCTAATTGGTCCCCCCTTGAGCGTTTTTTTTTTTTTTTTAAATGACTGCCTGTAAAAGAAGGAAGAGGTTGGGAGTAGTGTTTTAAACTGATTTAGAAATTTATTAATTTGAAGTAGCATTTTTTTAAAGATTTTTATTGGGGAATTGGGGGGATGGGAATAGTGCTGGGAAATTGGGGGAAGGGGAACAGACAAGTTGCTGTCATTTTTTGTTCTTCAGTCTAGTTGTAGAGGACGTTGCTTCACTGGCCCAAGTTGGCACCATCATTGCGCTCTTCCCGGGCGAGGCACATCAGTCGCCAGCTTCTGGACAGCCGCTCATTGCG